GGACCTTTCCAACCTCATCCTATGAGGCTAGCATTCCCATTACCAAAACCAGACAAGCACATAACAAAAACTATAGACCAAACTTTCTGATAAACAGATGCAAAAGTTCTTAGTAAAAACAACAAGTCCTATTCAACAGCACATCAGAAAGATTATTCACCATGATTAAGTTAGTTTTATCCCAGGGATGCAAGGGTGGGTTGACAGAATAAAGGTTAAAAAATCACATGATCATCTCAGCATCTCTTCATGATTAATGCCCTGAACGAATTAGCTATAGAAGGACCTATACCTGAACATAATACAGGCTGTGTATGGCAAACTCATAACCATCACGTTTTGGCTTTCATCACTGTGAACAAATACTTGAGATAAATAAGTGCAAGGAGTAATGAATCATTTTGGCTCACAGTTTCAGAGGTTTTATACCATACTGAGTTGGCTCAATTGCCTGTGGGTCTGTGTGAAGGCAGAACATCACGTTGGGGTAGTATGTGGTGAAGCAAATTTGCTTATTCATGGCAGCCAGGAAGCAAAGACAGACCAGCATTACAATATTGCTTTCAGTGACACGGCCCCAAATCCCAAAGGTTTTGCTACCTCCTAATAGTGCCACAGGGCCTTTGGGGGGAACATTTCAGGTCTAAACCATAGCAAAACATCATACTGAATGTGAGAAAGATGAAACCATTTCCTCTAACATATAGGAAGAGAGGAAGTCAAATTATCCCTGTTTGTAGATGATGATTCTATATATAGAAAAATATAAAGGCTCCACCTAAAGACTATTAGAACTGATAAATGAATTCAGTAAAGTAGGTTACAAAATCAGCACACAAAACCCAGTAGGTTTTCTATATATCAATCTATATATCAATAATGAACTTGAGAAAGAAATCACAAAAACAATCTCATTTACAATAGTTACAACAAGGCCACAACCCTAGGAATAAATTGAATCAATGAAGTGAAAGACCTCAGAAATGAAAATTATAAAACACTGTAGAAAGAAATTAAAGATACAAAAAAATGGCAAGATCTTTCATATAGATTGGAAGAATATTGTTAAAATGTTCACACTACCAAGATGATTCATTGCAATGCCTATGAAAATACCAATGACATTCTTCACAGAACTACAAAAAGAATCCTAAAATTCAGATGGAAGCAAAAAAGACCTCAAATAGCCAAAGCAATCCTGAGCAAAAGGAGCAACACTGGAAGTATCTCAATATCTGATTTCAAATTATACTACAAAGCCACTGAGATAAAAACAGATAAAAACAGAACTGGGATCCCAGAAATAACTCATGTACCTAGAACCAACTGATTCTTCACAAAGATGCCAGAAACACACATTGAAGAAAGAATAGCCTCTTCTACCAATGGTCCTGTGAAAGCTGTATATCCACATGCAGAAGCTTGACCTCTCTCTCTCATTCAGTACAAAAATTAACTTAGAATGGATCAAAACCTTTAATAGAAGACCTAAAACTCTCAAAACAGGGGAAACACTTAAGACATTGGTACAGGCAGCAATTTTCTGGATAGGACTCCAAAAGCACAGGAAACAACCAACTGAGTGAAGAGATGGCCTACAGAATGGGGGAAAATATTTTCCAACTATTCCTCTGACAGAGTTAGTATCCAAAATATATAAAGAACCACCTCCAATTAATAAACAAGTAATTCAATTGAAAATGGGAAAATGACCTGAATAGATGCATCTCAAAAGAAGAACAATAAATGGCCAATAAATATATAAAAATGTTCAATTAGCCATCAGGGAAATGCAACTCAGAACTACAGTGAGATTTAGAATGGCCTCTATAAAAAATAACAAATGCTGGCAAGGCTACAGAGAAAAAGGAACTTTTATACACTGCTATTTATATAAATTAATTCAGCCATTATGGAGGTTCCTCAAGAAATTAAAAATAGATTGGCCCTATGATCTCACTATACCACTCCTGGATATACACCTAGAAAGCCTAAAATCGGTATAATGAAGAGATTTCTGCATATTCATGCTCATTGTGGCACTATTTATAATAGCTAAGATATGGCCTTGGACTAGGTCAGGATGAATGGACAAATATATGTAAAATGGAGTATTATTTAACCATAATGAAGAATGATATCCTGTCATTTGAAGCAAAATGGATGGATAGAACTAGAGGACATTACATTAAGTGAAATAAGCCAGACACAGAAAGACAAGTACAGCACATTCTCTCATATGTAAAAACCACAAAACAGTTGATCTAAAAGGAGCATAGTGTTATTAGGAATAGTGACATCAAGAATGTGAAGTGGAAAAAGGGTGGGTGGATTTGATCAGTGTACACCGTATGCATGTGTGGAAATGTCACATTGAGCCCACTAATACACCTTAGTAAATGGCAAATAATAAAATAAAAACCATTCTAGTGGTACTCATAGTAAAATACAAACTCCTTGTGCAGCATACAAGACACTTCATGATCTAGCACCTGCTTTCCAGCAAACATTCTGGGCTGCTTTTGCCTTCATTTTTTCACATGTTTATATGAAAAACATTCCCAACCCAAGACAGGCACCAGAAATCTATGTTGGATTAGAAGAAAGCTGGATTATTACATGAAGTTTTAAGTAAGAAGGTGGTCTTACTTACACTAAAATTAGGATGGCTTTCATAGACTTCATGAAGGTAAACAAATGAAGAAACATATTTGTATGATACAATCCCTAAAGGATTTTCTTGCCGGAAATGATCACTATTTTCATTCTGGTGTGGAATGTGGAGGCCTGGGGGGGCACCTACAGTTTGAAGCACATTTTTATGACATCAAACAGTTCAGTGTAATATTTAATGCTTTAAGCTTTCTCCTCTTTCATGTATGACTCATGGACCAGTAACCTTGGCATCACCTGTTAGAAATTCAACATCCTAGGCTCTGCCCAGATGCACCACACCATAATTTGCATTTATAACAAGATCCCCAGGTGATGCACTTTCAAGCTTGAGCTATACTAGCCTAGAGGGTTTTAGAGAAAGAATGGAGAAAGCCCTTTGTGTTTTCTCTTTTGTTAGCAAAAGAATCACCGAGAATGGTCAAATGTGCCACATATCCTCATGCATGACCTGGAGGACACTATACAGATGTATCTCCCATGTGAAGCCAGAGCTGTTCCAACTGTAATTTCACAAACTGTTAGTCTTGAGGACATGGGGCAGGGCTACCTCGAACTGAAGGAAAGCTATCAAAAGCAGATTTGGCTCTGTTATGAAGCGCACACTTTATGCCCCTGGGAATAAGGAGGGCTGGCCCGTCATAGCGGCCAGGTTGGCATCAGCCCCTAACTCACCTGGGATAACATTTGATTTTCATTAGAGATGGACATGGCATATATGTTAACCTACTAGGAAGGTACAAGTGGCTGCTTTCCAAAGCTCACACGGGGGCTAGGAGTGGAGGAACATGCATGCAGCAATATGTAGACAGCCAATTCCAACAAGTATGAAGTTGCTAATTATCCCTAAATATTCAATCACATTGGTCATACAATTTTACAAAGAATTAGAAGGCTGTTGTTGGGGTGTCCCAGTTGACCAACCAGAAACTATGCCTGACTAATCAGAATAGTCACTCTACCAATTAGCACCAGTCCCAGACAAACCAAGAACAGATATTACTACGTAGGCGTTACTACAACCGGAATAGCAGCCCCAGAAGGCAGCTCTTAGCATGTCTGGGAGATCGCCAATTGGTTTTGAACACAGACTTTGGGAGAAACAGTACGCAAAATTGTATCATTTTCCCCAAGCACGTCTACCTGATTTCCTTTGGTGCTGAAACATTCTAAAATGTTAAATGAGTAGGATAACTGTTCTATCAGGCCTAACATAGGCCTGAACAGTATGGGCTGGGGAAAACCTAGACCTTAGTGACCAGAGGACCTGAGTGATAGTCTCATCTGGCCCAGAAATAACAAGAGCACAAGGGTACCTCACCCCATGGACTGCTGCTGTCATGGCATGGTGTCTGTCATTGTTCAGGTTGCCTCCCCCTACTCTTTTTTTTTTTTTTTTTAAATAATAGACAAGTCTAACTTTTATGCAGTCAAATTATTTGGTACTTGAGTAGTGATAATAATAGGAATTATGACAATGTATTGGGTAATATGCTAGTTCCTTCTTTTGGATTATTCTATTAAGTCTTTTTTTTATTCATTTATTCATATATGCATACATTGTTTGGGCCATTTCTCCTCCCGTCCCCTCCCTTTCCCCTAGCCCCCTCGCTTGAATTAAATTTCCTCTCCAAAAGGAGAGAGTTATCATGGCTCCTCCATTATATTCAGAAGAGGACCAATCCCTAGGTTTCTGGGGTCAGGCAAGGCCCTCTGCTCCTGTTGAGCTTACCTGGGACCTTTTTGTTAACCTCTAGGCAGAAGACTGAGAAAGGAGGTGATGGTTTCAAAGTGATACCCAGGCTGCATATCAGAATCACCTGGGGAGTTTCTAAAATGTACCCATGATCCCACCTCAGAGCAACTGACTTAGACCTTTTGTGAGGTAAGCCTGGACACTGGTGGTTTAAAAAAGTTTCTCCAGTGATTTTAACTGTGCAATTGATGGAGAACCCCTGGCCCCAAGCAACACAGCAGTCTCAGGTGGCTCTCTGCTGAAGTTTACATGTCATCCTCAGCAAAGCCAGTGAGAAGGGGTGACCTTATGGAATGTGAATCTGAAGAAAGTGTCTGAGGGTCTGATCTGAGAAGAAGAAGACCCCCGAGGGAGGGAAATAAAAAGGAAAAGTATAATGGGTGTGAGCAGTGTGTTGACAGTAGAGAAGAATATTCTAAACTCTGGGATTTGGGAATGATGCTGGGTTGGGTTAGTGACAGTAGGGTTAGTGAGAGATCAGTTGTCACAGAGGAGGTGGCAATGGTAGCATTTTACTTCCTACTGTGGCAGGGTTTACACCTTTCAAATAAAAACCTCTCGGGCCCCTTACCTGACCCCAGCTGGAGAAGGCCCACTCCACACATAGCTGCTGGTTACAGGCCTGGGTGTCCACAGGCCGTTTGGCGAGTTGGGTGCACGCATCATTGGACACAGGGGTGGAGATCCCAGAGGCTTTTAGCTTCTGACAAGTCACCCGGCGTGTCTGGACACCTCCACCACAGCTTCGGGTACAGGCGGACCAGGAAGTCACCATCCACCTAGGGAGAGGAAGCATGATCAGAACAGAAGAGGATCAGGTCTACGGGAAAGAGCCTTGCACATTCCTGTCCACACAGGTGCTAATTTGGGGGCCATGGCCCCTTTCACAGTATTTACATAAATAAACGGCCCACCAAAAGATACCCATGTCAAATTCCTGGAACCTCTGAACATTACCCAATTTGGCAAAAAGGTCATTACCAACATAAGGATTTTGAGATGAGAATATCTGCTGTAGAATTCATCACACATGTTCTAAGAGAAAGGCAGAAGGAGATTACATATGGGGAAGAAGAGGAGGCAGGGTGACCAGGCGTCAGAAGTTGGAGTCATGCAGCCACAAGCCAAGGAACATTTGAAGGCACTGGAAGATGGCAGGGTAAAGGAGCAAATTCTCTCCTAGAGCCATTGGAGGGGTGTGCCCCTGCTAACACCTTGATTTTTGACTGCTGGCCTTCAAAATGGTGAGAGAATTAATTTCTTAAAAAACAGTAGTTTTTTAAAGCCACTGTTTGTGGTAATTTGTTAGGACAGCCTCAGGAAACTAATTTAGAAACTAATTTACCTGGGACATTGAAAGATGTAGAAAGATTTTTTTTTTTTCTTTTTTGTAATCCTGGGGTTGAACTCAAGGCAAGTATTCCACCACCGAGCTAAGTCCTAGGTCCTGAAAAGCATACATCTTGAAAGAGGATTTTGAAGATTGGTTGCCTTAGCTGTCCCAAAGGTGGTGAGATAGCAGATAGAATGTTCTGGATGACAGTCTGTTAGCTAGTGACACTATACTGTAGTTCTGGTACTTCCTCATGTGACAGAGCAGTAGGCTTCCTAGCAAACAAACACATCACCTCTTGTCCCAGGCAGCAAGTGAAGTCACACTCAGGTCAAGGTTTTATTTGGCAATACTCTGTGCTTTCTATCTCACTGTTTGATTTGCTTCATCTTTCAGAAACATACAAAGTTTCTTCCAACTTTCTGAGGCATTTTTCCACCTCCACAAATCAGTGTATAAGTTTTATATGTCTTAGAGGGTTGTATCCACGGTAGAAATATTTGTTTTTGGAATGTTAGGCTCCAACTACAACCCGAGCCCCCAGAAGTGAAACTAAGCAAGATTATGGAAACGGGCTTTTGTCCTCTATCCAAGATGTGATCTGGGAACGCTGCAAAGTCCTTGGTCCGTACACAAACATGCAGGAGTTCTCTTTGTATGTATGCACCCAGGCATCATTCTCAAAGAGGAAGAGCACAGTTTTGGGACAATAATGAGAAGAGACATAATGCTTTTCAGCCATTTTATGCAGTCTAGGAAAAATCCCCACTGTTTTTATTGCCTGGGGTGTGTATGTAATTATCTAGTGTGAGATGTTTCTAACAGCTACCTGGGTTCAAGCAGTATTTCCCAGTTTGATTTAGAAAGATGGTCAGTGCACTTCTGTGTGTCCTAAGGCAGATGCTAACGTGCCCCCAAAGCCTGGCAGGAGACTAGTCAAAGGTGAGCCCATGGGCTCTTCCTGGCCATCTGGCTTTCAGGAGAGGCATGTAGCGGAAGGGGAGCAAATTCCTCTGGCATCAGGATCTGTGACTTATTTAGTTTTGTGGCAATTTCTCCACTCCCTTGGCCCACAGAGGGATGACTGCGTGCAGATTTCCAGCCCACAGGAGTAGGCCACTTAGGAAGCAGGCATGAGGTGTTTTAAAGCTCCTGGAGGCATTGAAACCAAAGAAGACACTGCCATTATTATTTCATTTGCAGAAGTAAATTAGACTGATTAACTCTGACCATCACCAAATCAAATCAAAAAGTTCCTGGCACGTCAAAGTCCTCGTCATCATTTCACACAGCTTGGCGCGGGCAGTCTTCCAGCCTATATGCCCCTGGTGAATGTCAGGCCTGAATTTCAATCAACTTTTATTTCTAAATAGACATTTCAGCATTTTTTTTCAGGAGCTGGGGTGGGGGTTTTGAGAAAGGAGAGATGTGGGCTCTGTCACCATTCAGGAAGGGTATAAAAGGACATTAATCATTCCCGTGGAAACCTTCCCGTCAGCAAGTCAAAGTCAGATATTAATGAGTGTGTTTCATATTTCATGGAGTCTCTCCTGGTTTCAGCTGCTCCTTATGACTCAGCTGGCAAAGCATAAAGCAGTTGCCTGAGTAGTATAGGAAAGTCCTCACAGATAGGTCGTGAAGGGCATTTCAGGGCCCAGCCAGTCTCCTGAGCCTGTGCCATGCTGGTGTCAACTCCAAGCCCATCCATTATGCCTTTAGCTGTGGCCTGAAGACTGGAGGTCAGGTACTCAGTGGGACTCACAACTTCTTCAAGTATGTGCAACTTGTAAGAGACAGAGAGTCTGGATATCGTCCCAGGGTAAATAAGGGACCCACATGCAGGGAGTGTATAGCCAAAGTTAAGGCGACTATAGAAAATGGAGATTTAGTCCAACTTCCATGAGGTGTAACCATTTGTAGAAAAGAAGATCTTAGTTAAATCAAGTAGCATAGACATTTAAAGTTGGATAAAAAGAGAGGGATCAGGGTAGAGCCCAGTAGTCCTTCTTGCCTCAGTACTTCAATAGAAAATACTTTTTCTCCTACAAACAACCCAGAGTCAGTTTATTACTGCCTGGTATGCACTTGCTGACTGAGCAGATCCTCTTAGGCACTGGGAAAGCCCGGTAGCCCTTGGCTGGCTGTGTGGTGAGAGAACAAACAGCTGAGGGAGGAGGCCCATTCTGAGGATATTTTCAGCATGGAGGGGAGGCCTGACAAACCCGTGCCTAAAGGAAGAAACAGCTCTTTGTATTGTGTCTGTCCCTGTGCAGCACTAGAAAAGGGGTGGCCATCAACTTGGCTAGGAGTCATGGCCAGACCTTGTGGGTGGGGAGGCTGCACTCACCGAGAAGGGCAGTCTCTCCGGTTGCAGGCAATGGGCTGCACAGCAGGGCGAGGCTTTCCCACACAGCGCTCAGGGTCAACCTCTGTGTGGTTCAGCAGACACCTCAGGCGGGGCTGCTGAAAGCCCCTGTTACCACAAGATGCTGAGCAGGTCACCAGTCTGTCCACAGACCACCAGTAATCTGTCAGAGGTGAAGAGAGGACGCTATTACTCCCCACAATGTACCTTGTGGGCAGGGCGGGGAGAGGGCAGGTTCTACCCCTGGGCATGCACCATCCCCAACCTACCTGGGCAAGCCCTGTGGTGTCTGGGATTCTCAGTTGGCCCATCCACAAAATGAGTAAAATAACCCTCACCGCATCAAATTTCTGTGAGGACTGGTCATAATGAAAGTGAAGGGTCCAGCTCAGTGCTTGGCACACAGAGAATATTCAGTTGACAACCATAGGGCTTATTATTTTTAAACGTACTGGCTAAAGTACTTTTTTTCTTATTGGATCACCAGAAAATGACTTTATTTTTCTATAGAGAGATATAAATACATCAGAAATACTTAATCATATTTGAAAGTGCGGATTTGAGTTGGATTTTGTAAATGTTACGAAAAAAATTAAAAAGCCCATCCAGAGAGTTCTCATTTACGTGAGACAATGACATCAGTGAGAAAGCCAATTTCTTTGGTTTTTCTGTTTGGAGGTCTGGGATTCAATGGGGGAGGAAAGCTGTTAAAAATAAAATGTGGGCTGGTAAATTTGGAGTGGATATTTGTAAGTGCTTGCATATTACAGAAATTACTGATAGGCACTGGATTCTGGTTTTCAGCAGAGAATAGCTGGCTGGCAAGAAAATGGAACATTTGTTTTCATGTCTGGAAAGCCAAATGGCAGGGAAGGACATTTTTAAAAGGAAAACCTATGTGCTGAGAAAAATCTCCCTTTTTGTGCCTTGTCCCTTCCCCTGGACTCCTCCATTTTGGAATACATGCTTTCCTTAGAAGTATCACATATAGGTCACAGGGTAGAACTAGCTTGTGGAAAGCTCAAGGGCCTCCCATAGCTTCTATAAAGGGGCCAGTTTGGCTTTCTTCCCACTGTGTTGGGCTCATTCACAACTCGGTCTGGTTCAGTGAATGCCAGGCCCGCCCATGGGCTTTCTGACCTGTATTCCGGAAGGCTCACGTGTGAGCCACACAGGCATCTCCATTCTCACCAGCGCCAAAGGGAAGACGCCTGGCGAGCCCTTAGCACGAAATGATGGCTGACGACTCTGGGGTGCTTAGTGACCCCAGCCCCACCTCTCCAGGCAGGGCAGGGGCAGTGACCAAACTGGTCAGATTGAGACGTGTTTTTAAACTGAATCAAAAAGAAGACGTGTGTGTGTGTGTGTGTGTGTGTGTGTGTGTGTGTGTGTGTGTGTGTGTGTGTGTGTGTGTGGTGTGTGTGTGTGGTGTGTGTGGTGTGTGTGTGTGTGTGTGGTGTGTGTGGTGTGTGTGTGTGGTGTGGTGTGTGTGTGTGTGTGGTGTGGTGTGTGTGTGTGGTGTGTATGGTGTGTGTGTGTGGTGTGTGTGTGTGGTGTGTGGTGTATGTGGTGTATGTGGTGTATGTGGTGTATGTGGTGTGTGTGGTGTGTGGTGTGTGTGTGGTATGTGTGGTGTGTGTGTGTGTGTGTGTGTATGGTGTGTGTGGTGTGTGGTGTGTGTGTGTGGTGGGTGTGTGTGTGTGGTGTGTGTGTGGTGTGTGTGTGTGGTGTGTGGTGTGTGTGTGTGGTGTGTGGTGTGTGTGTGTGTGTGTGTGTGTGTGGTGTGTGTGTGTGGTGTGTGGTGTGTGTGTGTGGTGTATGTGGTGTGTGTGTGTGGTATGTGTGGTGTGTGGTGTGTGTGGTGTGTGGTGTGTGTGTGTGGTGTGGTGTGTCTGTGGTGTGTGTGTGTGTGTGTGTGTGGTGTGTGTGTGTGGTGGTGTGTCTGTGGTGTGTGTGTGTGGTGTGTGTGGTGTGTGTGTGTGGTGTGTGGTGTGTGGTGTATGTGGTGTGTGTGTGTGGTGTATGTGGTGTGTGTGTGGTGTGTGTGTGTGGTGTGGTGTGTCTGTGGTGTGTGTGTGTGTGTGTGTGTGTGTATCTTCTCTAGCTGACATGTCTAGCTCTGGTAAACAGTGGTGTTGCACTGGGCCTGAGTGCCAGCAGCACTAGGAGGGAATGGCCCGTCGGAGGGCAGGGCTGACGTTTTCAGGTTTTGTGACATGGGTTTGGCTGCTCTTCTGAAGGGCTATGTTGTCAGAAGCAGGGTCTCACTGAATAGAAATATCGCTCAGCCCACTGCAAATCAGAAATCACTTTGTCTATTACAGAATTAGACTTCTGGAGGGAGGAGGGATAGTTCTTATTGAAAAAGTTTAGTCTGATGCCCAAAGCCCGAAGGGTTCCTTACCCTGGATCACTAATGATGCCTTCTGCACGAGCGTTCCCGCCTCGTTCCGAGCGAGGCAGCTGAATTCCCCTTGAGACTCGCCACTCAGATTTGTGATCTGAAGGATTTGTCCCACTGCCAAGATGTGATACGTCAGTCCTGTGGCACTGGCAATTGGATGACCATCGTGGAACCAGGTGATATTGGGGGTGGGGTGACCTGTGATAGGGCAGCCTAGAAGAAGAGAGAAGTAGGTCATTGCTAAGGCCAAAAAAAGACATCCCCAGTGGGTTGTCTTCATGTTTCTGTATTATGTGACTTTACCTGTGACATTTTTTATTATGTTTGCCATTCCCAAGCAAACAGGAGATGTTTTCATTCTCTGGACTTCTGGGAGGGTGTCTATTATGCAATTAAGTAAAAATTCTTAGAGAATACAAAGTGACTATTTCTGTTTACACCTCTGTACTAATTATTAAAAAATGATGCAATTATTCATTCATTGAACACTTGCCATACTAGTTCCTACACTGATTATATTTGCAAAGGAAGTGCTTCTTCAAATGTAATATGTTGGAAAAACATACTACATGGTAATAGTTAAGAATCAAACTTTAATTGATAAAAGTCTAGTTTCTGACTCCGTTTTACTCCTTATATGACTTTTGAAGTGAAAATTTAACAGAAATTAGGAAAACCATTTTAATCATTGATCTAATTTCTCCATAAATAAAGAATCTTGGTTTTTGACAATTTTCATTAAGTGTGAATTATACATGTATAATACCACACTTTTCTACAGTCATTAAACATTTTGGTACATTAAAATTCTAAGATATTAAACTGAACATAGAGTCTACCTAAGCCTTTGTAGCATAGAACTGGTAAGAAGACAGACAGACTACTATTGTGAGAGAAAACACATTTTCTCTAAATTTGGAATACTTGCTGAGTGTGCTGTTGTAATTTCAGAGACTTAGCTCCCATAGAAAATTTATTTGGAAGATTAAAATACACGCTAAATCATTAAAAATTAAAGACTCTGGAGGTCTGCCCTCAGTTCAGATAGAAAAATAACTATTCGTCCTGGGGAAACTTAAGAGAGCTAAAACTGCCTCCCCTCTTCCAAGGAGACCAGAGCTAATATAGAATTTTTAAGGCATATACTAGTTTTCTCTCATATGTGAATTGAGAAGAAAAAGGGCATGAAAGTAAAAGGGGGATATTAAAGGTGTGGAATGAGATAAAGGAGAGGGGGGGACACAAAATGGTGATGGAGTGAATATGATTAAATTATATTACATGCACATATGAAAATATCAAAGAAATGTATTCCTTTGTGTAATTCATACACTTCAGAAAGCACATTAGTAAAACTGTGAGGTAGGAAAGAAAATGGTGAGATCTATGTGATACAATTGATGGTGCTATGGTATAGATGTTTGTTCCCCCCATATATTCATATACCAAATCCTAATAGCCAAGGTGATGGTATTGTAAGGAGGGAACTTTGGGAGGTGATTAGGTCATGAGGGCTCTGCCTTCATAAATGTGACTAATGTTCTTAAAAGACAGATTACAAAGAACTGACTTGTTCCTTCTACCATGTGAGGACACAGCAATAAGGTACCATCTATGAAGAATGGATTCCTAGCCTGTAGAACTATAAAAAAAATTTCTGTTTTCATTAGCTATTAGTTTATGGTAGTTTTGTTATAGCATCCCAGATGGGCTAAGACAGATGGCCACCTGTGTGGATGTGTTGGTACCTGTGGATCTGCAGAGGGAATGAATTTCCTGACATTGGCTTGATTTTTCTGTTTGTACAGATGGGAGGGTTACCTTAGAAAAGGCCCTTAGCTATCTTATAGCCCACCACCAGAAGAAGAAACTGAGGCCTAGAGATGTTAGAAGATTTTCTTAAGATCATGTGGCAGGTCTTCTGTCTGGCCTTGTGTTCCTTTGCTCAGACCTGCTCCTTGTTCAGCCAGGCATCAACAGTTTACCTAAGACTTTGCTACCATCTTCCTTTCTTGCTCACTTCTTTCCCCCCCTCACTTTCTTTTCCCAAAGAGGCATTAGTGTATAGTGACAGGGAGGGAGCAGACTATTTTAAAGGAGTGCCTTGGAAAAATAATCCTAATATGGATGCCAGGAAGGTCAGTATGGGACAGAGCTTCTAGGACCCAGTTCTTCATTCCCTCTGAATTCACTCACTTTGCCCTCCCACGAGGGATGGGCTGTATTGAGTATGGCCATGTGACTTCTTTGGCAGATAAAATGAGACAGCTATTATAATAACAGTACATAACGAGAAAAGAAAATTAAGAAAGTAATTTCACTTATAACAGCATCAAAAAGAACAAAATACATACAAATAAACTTAGCTAAGCAGGCTGTTCTGGTTTGAGTGTTTATCCCAAACTAATGCTGACATTTAATTGTTATTGTTACAGTAGTAAAAGGTGAGACTGTTAAGAGGTGGTCAGGCATGAGGGCTCTGCCTTCCTGGGTGGGATTATGCCATTATAAAAGAGTGGGTTTGTCTCCTTTTTGTCTCTTTGTCCTTCTGCTTTCTACCAGGTGAAGACAAAGCATTCCTCATCTTTGGAGGGCACAGCATTCAAAGCACCATCTGGAATGAGAATGGCCAAAACTGCTGGCCCCATTACTTTACACCGTCCAGCCGCCAGAATCACGGCAAATTACAGATTAGCCCGTCACAGGTATTTAGTTACAATAGCACAAAGCAAACTAAGAGGTGAAAGACTGTACACGAAACACTGCTGAAATGAAAGGAGTTGTAAATAAATGGAATGAAATCTCATGTTCATAGATCAGAGGACTTAATATTGTTAAGATACTAATTCTGACCAAAGAGACCTATAAATTCAATGCAATCCCAATTAAAATCCCTTTTGACATTTTCCAAAAATAGAAAATCTCATCCTAAAATTCATATGGCATCTCAAAGGAACCAGAATAACCAAAATAATCTTGGAAAAGAAGAACAACGTCAAGGACTCATACTTCCTGATTTCAAAATTTACTACAAAGTTACAATAATTCCAACAGTGTGCCACTGGTGTAAAGACACATACAAAAAGCAATGGAACAGGCTAGACCTAAGTATACAGTCAAGTGATTTTCTACAAGGGATCAAGACCATTAAACGGGGAAAGATCAGTCCCATCAATAAATGGGCTGAGAAAGTGAATATTCATATGCTAACAAATGAGGCTGGACCGTTACCTTACAACATATCTAAAAATCAATTCAAAATGGATCAAAGACCTACACTTAAGACTAACAGCATAAAAATCTTATGAAGAACTCGTAGAACAAAATCTTTAGGACAGTGAATTTGGCAATGATTTCTTAGATATGATACTAAAATCTAGGTGACAAAAGATAAAGTGGACTCTACCAAAATTAAAACTTTGTGTGCATTTTAGGAGACTATCAAGTGAATGAAACGGAAATCTCTAGAATAGTAATACATATTTGCTAAGCATTGATTTGATAAGCAATTAAGATTCAGAAAAAAGAACTCTTACTACTTAGTAACAAATACCAAGTTAAAAAAATGGGGAAAGATATTATTATTACTCTAAAGAAGACAGATAAATGTCCAATAAGCATATGAAAAGATGCTCAAGTAATCTTTAGGAAAATGCAAATCAAAACCACAATGAGTTACTACTTCACACCCATCAGTATGACTATTATAAAAGGACAAACAAAATAACAAATGTTGGTGAAAGATGTGGTGAAATTGAAACCCTTATGCAAAGCTAGTGAGAATGGAAAATGGAGCAGCTCCTTGGAAAATGGCATGGCAATTTCTCAAAAAAATTAAACAGAATTATCATAGAATCTAGCAATTCTACTTCCAAAATAATTGAAAGCAACGACTTACAAAGGTGTTTATACACCAGTGCTCACAGCAGCATTATCATGATAGCCAAAGACTCACGAGAAGCAGCAGCTAGGACAGAGGTCTTTGAGAAGCTGCCCTCATTATAAAGCCCCTCAACTCTGAAACTTCTCAGGGTAAAGCTCAGTTTATTAAGAAGAAAACACATTTTGTTACTTTCCCATTCAGTTACACAGAATCATGATTCTCACGGAGAACTACAGGCTTAAATAGAGTTGTCTGGCTTCAGTTTTCTAATTTGTAAATGAGAGCATTTGATGATCTCTGATATACATTCAGGTTCCAATGAGATGATCTTTAAGTGCTTTTAGGTTCCAAAATTTCACGACATCTCAATGTCATCATCCTTACCCCTCCTCTTGTATCCCCCACATAGCCGAGTGACAGGAACAAACTAGACCTATTTAATCTGTTTTGCTTGGGTCTATGTATGGTGAAAGAATTATGCCAGTGAAGGGCTCATGGAAGAGATGTTATATATGGAGCCTATGTAAGACAGGCGGAGGTCTCCACTTCATACACACACGGTGTTCTCCTTTGTTTTCAAATCTGTCATTGGATGGTGGAGTAGCTCAAGTGGTAAGAGCACCTGCCTCGCAAGAGTGAGGCACTGGTGGCTCATGCCTGTAATCCTAGCTCTCAAGAGGCAGAGATCAGGAGGATCGCAGTTTGAAGTCAGCCTGGGCAAATAGTTTGCAAGAACCTATCTTCACAAAAAAGGCTGGTAGAGTGGCTCAAGGTGAAGACCCTGAGTTCAAGCCCCAATACTGCAAAAAAAAAAAAAAAAATCTGTCTTTGTATATAGATTTCACCTTTTAATAAGAACATAAGTCACACTGGATTACAGCTCACTCTAATGACCTCATCTTAACTTTCACCATCTACACACATACTATTTCCAAATGAGGGCACATTCAAGGGTACCATGATTAGGATCTCAACATCTTTTGTGGAAACACAAGTCAACTCATAACAGTGATAGGACAAAGAAGAGTGCAAAGAAGCTGAGGCCACTGGAAGTTGTTGAGAGAATTCTGGAGATGAGTGTGTATATAGAGAAAGAGCTCCAGAAATCTGTTAATTCCTCTTGATTTTTGCCCAAGTGAAAATGTACATGCATAGAGTTAAACTACAAGGTTGAGCAAAGAGCTACTAGAGAACTTGGCTTAATATTTTCCCGAAATTCAAATAAGGCTAGAAGACCTTCAAGTTCTGACGAGCTAATGTAGGGTATTGGTCTTCTTAGACATTCAGTAGAGACTCCTAAAAAGCCTACAGGCTACTCTAGACAGGCACT